AAAAAGAAAAAAAAAACAGAAAAAGGGTACAAGTAATATAAAATTTGAAAAAATAAACAGTAAGAAATCACTAGTGAATAGATTACATATTCTCATCTTAGAAATAGTTGTTCAAATTACAAAATTCAAGCACATAAAGTGGACTTTCAAACAGTGAGAGTGCAAACAGTTTTGTTCAATGATCCAAAAAAAAAAAACCCACTCAGTAATATAGTTATCTTATACACTTAAACATATATGCAGTTATAACCTTTAGAGCACTTTTTTTTTTTTTTTTTTTTTTGTAGAATGGCAGTTACACATTTTGGGTTTTATGACTCCCACAGTTCTTATTTTTTTTTTTTTTTTTGAAGAGAGTAAAACCAAATGCGACATATCAGAACAGTCAGTCAAATCAAAAGGATGGACATAATAATGTAAAAACAAAATACTAGGTGATCTCTATATTCGTGGACATAGGAGGCCACATATACAGAGTTCTTACTGAGTTTTCAGGCTAATAAATCCTCAGTGTCTCACGGAGTATTAAAGGTCAACCTATGCCAGTTACAAACAGGGCCTATTTTATATAGGCCCCAGTCTTAAATCTTAAAATGCTTTTATTCCCTTTTAAACTGCCATCCTGGTTTCACATCACTCAGGCCCTAGATCTAACCATACTTTTGATACTCATCTCTGCCTTACGACTCACAGGTTTTCATGTTTTGTCATCCACTTTGGTTCTTAATTTCTTACATTCTATTAATGATCATTTCTATACCAGGACTCTCTAACAGGATTGCCTACAGACTCCAACATAATATATACCAGAGACAAGCCTTACCTACCTACCTTTTACCTTTTATGCTTTCATATGGGGGAGTAAGCACCTCTCATAACTTCACTCCTCCTAATCCCACATTTAATTTTTCAGAATTCTGCCTTGCCATAAAAATGTTCCCACCTCAACGTCATCCTGATAGAATAACATGTCTAAATCAAAGATACCTTTCCCTCTACCTCTCTTGGGTCCATAAATATGACAGTGCCATGTCTCCTCATAACATCTTGTCTCTTTGTTTTTTTCAGTCTAACATACGTGCATTCACCAGTGAAGTTGTCATGGCTAAAACTCCTGGCACCAGCTTCTACCTAGACATCAACTGTCATCCCGTCGACCCCCCTAGACTCCAGTACAGTGCCCTCGGCCAGCAGGAAGTAGTTAAAGAGAGAAATCTTCGCCCCTTTTCCTAATAATCATAAGATGGGATATGAAAGGGTTGCTGGCCCAGGCCGGATACTGTAGCCAGTAAAGCCAGGGAGCTCTTATCTCCCCCCACCTTTAGAAATTACTTCTGGCGCCAAACTAAGACCAGTGGGCTACCTGTACATCCCTAATGCCCCTTAGGTTCCACCCCAGGCTGAGGCTACTTATATGCCTCACTCCACGTGTTCCACGGAGAGATCGCTGGCCCCGGGGTGGAGATGCCATGCCGCAGGGGGTCAGGGGTGTCTCTCCCCGCATTCCCAAAATAAAGGTTACTTACATTTTATACTTCTTATCTTTTCAGCCGCCGCCAGTCCTCCTCCTTTTCCTTCCACTCCACAGTTCTATCAGTTACCATACTGCCTCTTGCTATTTTAAGAATTGGCGGTTATAATAAAATTGAACTAAACAGTAAAGAATAAAACCAAAGCACTGGAGACATTACAGGACTTTAAAAGAAAATAATAGTCAATCAGAATGGGTGTCATAATGATTCTTATTGTGTTCACAGTTATGCCTGTACTTTCGATATTGGTACTATCAAGCAAAGCAGAATAGGGGAAAATCAGTCAAAACAAGATGGTGAGGGCAATACAGGATTTCAAATCAAGTTAATAGGAAATCAAAGTAGGTTACTATAATGTATCCTGCTATTTTTTATTTATTTTCCCTTAATTAAAAAATAAAATTAAAAAAGTAAATAATTAAAAAAAAGGGGGGGGGACTGAGATAAAAGAGGGCATAACAACAGAACAGCGCAGGTCAAATCATAACCATTTAAGCAAACCAGTGTTTCACCACAAGATATCCTGACATAAAAATAGTTACCATAGTGTCTCTTTCCTTGAAATCTTTGAGTATAACTTCTTATACTGTAGCACCAAAGATATCACGACACTATAAATCCATTCAAGAGAATGACATTATTGCAGGGTATTTAGAACCAATTGACAGAAAATGAACAATGGTTTCTATATAAACTCCTTGTCTATAAAAGTTTTTGCTTATACTATCATATATAATAAAATCCAATAAGATACAACCTTTTAACACCAATGGAGACTGAAGAATACACATTTGATGGGACTTCAAAACAAGATGATACTAAATCAGCACTAGCTATTATGATGTCTTGTTTTCTCCAAAATTGCTGTTCCTACCTTCCAATCTTCTCTGCCTCATTTCTGTTGAGCTCTTTTTCTGTCCTTTGTTGTCAGTTTGTCTTCTTCATTTTGTTTTCTGCTCCATTCATTGTGGCCTCTCAGCCACTATTTCTGGAATCTTGGTATTTTCTTTTTTTAGACTATCCTGCAGTATTCTCTGTAGAGTTGAATTAGTGGTTGCAAATTCCCCTAGTTCCTCTTTATCCTGGAAGCACCTTGTTTTTCCATCAATTTCTAGGGACAGTTGTGCAGGATACATCAATCTTGCCTGGAGGTTATTATCTTTCAAAGCTTGAATTATTTCCCCCCACGCTCTTCGTGATTTGATGGTTTGTGCCGAGAAGTCTGCTGTAATTTTGATGGGTGTTCCTTTGTAAGTGATCTGTTTCTTGTCTCTGACGGCTTTTAATATTCTGTTCTTATATTGGATTTCTGGAATTTTGATTATTATGTGCCTGGGTGTAGCTCTGTTTGGGTTGTAGATTGCTGGGGTCCTGTATGCCTCATATATCTGAGTATCTTTACCATTTGCCAAATTAGGGAAATTCTCTTGGATTATTTCTGTGAATAGCTTTTGTAGTCTATTTGTTTGTGTCCCCACTTCTTCTCTTACGTTCTTAATTCTTAAGTTATAGATCCTCTTATCATCTTCTAGTTTTTGTATTGTTGCTGTTTGTTTGTTTGTTATTTTTAAGAAGTTTTTCATTACATGCTCCCATATTACAAATCTGCCCTCCAGTTCAGATAATCTGTCCTTAGTTTCTTTCAAGCTGTTATGCCAGTTTTCAATAGTTTTTAGTTTCCTTGTAATCTCTTTGAACCTCCTTCATGTATTCTATGTTTTCTCTATTTTCTCCATCAAACAATTCTCCCCTTTTTTTCTGTTCTTCCATTTCACCATCTGTTTTTTCTTGGGCGGTACTTAGCATTTCTCTAACTATTCTGCTTATGTCTAGCTTCGGGTCATTCATAACTTCATTCCTGAACTCCTCTATGAGGCTCTGGAGATAGCACTTTATATCTATTGGTCCCATGTCTACTATTGCGTGTTTCTCGGGATTGGGGACTGAGGACCCTTTCTTGTTGCTCCCTCTTCCCATATTCTTTGTTCCTTATATTAAGCGTGTATAGGAGGCCCAGCTTCCTTCCCTGTCGGCCAGTCTGTTTGAATTGCCGGCTAGGTGTTCCTGCCCACTGCAGTGTACTAGGGAGACACAGACCTGGGCAGCCTCTTCTGGGCCCGCCCCTCCAGGTCAACCTACCCCCAAGGCTTCACTGCTAGGGTGCGCCTTCAGGTGCTGGGACCTGAGTTGGACTAGCCTATTGGGTCTCAGCCAGCGGCTTCTCACAGGCCAGGCACTCCCCACCAATCCCGCTTGAGAGGGGGATATGTGACTGAAGTCACTGCAGCTTCTTGTTCCGGGAAGTCTGCCTGGTCCGAGTATGTCCTCCGCTGAAGCCTGCTTCTCTATGTAAGGGTCCAATTCACTGGCTCACTCACCGCAGGTCGATGCAGGGCACCGGCCAGTCCTGCTCCCATCTCCTTTCAACGCTTCTCACTCTCCGAGGTTTTGCACCTCTCTCCCTGCTGTGCCGACCGGGATGCAACAGCAGCTGCAGGTAATTCAAATTGCAGTTTCCAGTGGCGCGGGTCCAGCTTCCGCGCTGAGACCTTATCTGTGCCTGCTGTCTTGCCAGGATTGCATTTCCAGATGGTTTCTCTTAATTTAGTTCATTCCTGGGTCAGCAAAGAATATCCCCCCTTGCCTGGATCTTCCCGTCCTGCACCATTCCTAGATTTCAAGTGCAGTTTCTCCGAGAGCCTCAGAGGCTGCTGCTATCTATCCGCCATGTTCTTCTGGTAAAAAAGGTTGTATATTATGGACAAACTTATACCAACTGCCACTGACAGAAGCATCCCATCCAAACAACAGTGCAGGATTCACTGCTGTACATGGAGGAAATGTTTCCAGCACAGTCACAAAATAAACCCCAATCAATTTAAAAGAATTTCAATTATGCAGAGAATTTTGTCTCACTATGATGAAATACGTTTAGAAATTAACACTAGGGACAGCACTATTTACCTAGAACCTGAAAGAGTAAACAGTTAAGAGGAAGCATGGAGATGGAGCTCAGGGACAAAGTGCCTGCCTGACAAGCACAAGGCCCTGAGTTCAATTCCCAGGGCCAAAAATACAACCTAAAACAAAAACGGTTCAGGGGAGAATATTAGCAGATATATTTGAAAGCTCTGATGCAGGGAACAAACTTTTTGAAAGACAAGAAGGATCCAAGTCTCTGGACCTGAGCCTCATTTGCATGGAAGACACTGAATTGGTTAGAACCTTCCCAGTAACTGCAGGCTTGAATAGCTTCACTGCTGAATTTTAACCAGCACTGAAGGTAGAAGTACTATCAGTTTTACACATTGTCATAAGAATTTGAATAGAAAGATTTCTCAACTTATGAGGTCACTGTTGTGATTATTCAGAATGGACACAAGTATCACAGAGATAATCTATACATCAATACCCTTGAAAAGAACAGACAACAATGTTCTTAAAACTTAAACAATGGAAAGAAAGGCTTGTGGTTCACCACACCTCTTAGAGCATCACTGAAAAACACTAACTAAAGAGATTTCCACAGTAGTGACAGTGAATTATCATCTGAATTATTCAAGGTGATAAAAGCTTAAATTCAACAGAATGATCAGTACATTTACAAAATACACTACTACAAAATTACCTGAGCTAAAAAAAAAAAGACATGATACACAATGTAGATGAGTGACTTAGCAAGGAATTTGAGTCCACAAATGGTACCAAACAGAAATCCAAGAGAATTAAATTTGTATCCAAAGTGGGGGCAACAGAAATGACCACAAGGACAGAGCCCTGGAGTTAGAAGACAGGGCTGGTGTCAGTGCCCAAATACTCAGGGACACCTTACAAAATTGGAACATGGACAGTAGATCCAACAGCTATTAGATGGTGCACAGACAACTAACTAGAATAAGTGAAAAACCACAAGACAGCACACATGGCATAAAAATCTGTGACAGAAACAATAGCAGAAAACTTTCTGAATATGGGGAAGTAACTTGACATACAGATAAGAAAGACAGATGAAACCCCAAGTAGCCACAATCAGAAAAGGATCTCCCCATGACATATGACAGTCAATACCTGGGAAGTCCAAGGTGAGAACAGAATCTTATAACCTCATAAAGAAAAGCAAGGAATCACTTATAAATGTAAAACCATTAGAAATACAGCACACTTTTCAACACAAACTGTTAAGACCAGGAGAGCTTGGAGTGAGGTATTTCAACACATAAAAGAAAGCAACTTCCAACCCAGGTGATATATCCTACAGAACTCTCTTTCAAAACCGCTCTGCAGGACTTCAGGGCGACCACTTCCCTCGCTGGAGCCCAGCCAGTCCTGTCTGAAACACACTGTGGATGGCCTGGCTGCAAGGCCTCTCTAGCTTCCCTGGCCTTGAAACTGTCAGATTGTTTGACACTGTTAGTGTAGAAACAGGAGAAGTGACTGGGAGCCCCTGGCTTAGAGGGGCAGTGATCTCAGTGCCCAGGGATTTCCCTGAACTCTCAGAGGACGAGCAGGAGTTCTCCCAGGGCCTGGCACATGTATGACCGTCCTGATGTTCACCTCAGAGACAGAATACTGAACTCCAGTTGCAGGAGGTGTGTTGCCTCCCAGGATTTGGCAACTGTAGATAGAGAGCTTGTCTGCATGGCAGGATGTAGGTGAAACCTCCAGAGGAGTCTTCAAGGTTAGATGATGACACTGTGAACAGCATCCCTGCAAACTTTCCTGGTCTTGACTATTTCAGGAGCATAACACTAACTTTGTCATAAAGGTGCAGAAACATAGGTTTACCAGACACACACTCATTCTTTAGAATATTTCTATTGATGAGTTATTAACTTTACTTTTATAAGTGTTGTTATATTACACATTGGCTTACCAGGAAAAAAAACAAAAAAATATAAAGTATTGAATTTTTAATATTTATTGAGTGTTTATAATAAAGCATCAAAATTTAAAACATCAACAATTTTTTGGCATAAAGTCTACAAAAAATAACAAAAATATTCCTATACAAATTACACTGAAAATACCAACAGCAATTTACAAAAAAGTAATCTTCACTTCAATTATCACATCTAAATCAGTCTGTGCACATGACCACAGCGTATTCCATAGACACATAATACTCACACTGGGAGCACACGTTTTGCTGTCCTACTCTTTTTGTAGGATATACTTGATATCTCAGTAGTTTTGCTGTTTTGTCAAGGTTATTGTGTTACAGAGTGTGCAGCCAACAGGAACATAAAATATCAAAAGAAGTTCTTAAATTCTTACTGTGTGTTGTGCCTTTAGAATACACATCAATGGGGCTGGGGGTTTAGCTCAGCACCATAAGCACCTGCCTTGCAAGCAGGCGGTCATGAGTTCAATCCCCGGTACTGATAAAAAAGTGAAAAAGACAAAAAAAAAAAAAAAAAAAAAGAAAAAAAAAAAGAATACACATCGATATCTTTTCACATCAGCTGTGTATTTCTTTATAAAACCCAAAGGTAACATCAAAAATAGAAACCTATGTGAACTGCAATGTAAACAGAAACAAAAATCTACCACATAAATAAGCTTTGCTTCAACTGTCATATCCAAAGCAGTCTTTGCACTTGTCATACCCAAGGCAGTCTTGCATGTTCCATACACGAGGGACACTTCCACTGATAGCATGTTTTGTTTTCCTGTATTTTCTTGTAGGACACAGTTGAGATCTTTTTGTTTTCCTCTTATCATCGTGGATCTAGGAAGCTGTGTGTGCCTATTCACCTGTCAGCTCACCAGTGCACTCCACAGTACTTCACATAATTCACTGACAAGAAAAGCTGGATTTTTCTCTGCTGTAAATAATCTCATATGAACTGTAGTCCCAAACCATAAGAACATTTCTGTTCATAACATCATCTGGTTTATTATTCTATGAATAAACACCTTGTGGCTAAGTTCAAGCTAAATGTCTAAGTTGAAAGCACAAAAAGTCCTCACATGCACAAGGGCATGCATTATGCCAGAGTTGACCCATCATTTTCCATGAGGCCTTTACATTCCTGCAATCCCTATGAGAATCCACTATGAGAAATCCCTCCTAAGCACACAGATCCATAAATGCTTTCAGTTCAGCACCATGTCATAAAACATTTTTGAATATGGCTAATGGTGCATAGAGAACACTTTACTTGAATTTTAACCTCTATATTTCACAGAATCTTGTAACATTTCATGTGTTAAAATTTCCAACTTTGAATAGCAGTATCAGCATTCGTCCAATACATTTCACTCTTGCCAAGTCCCTCACTATATTTTTGGACTTAGTATTAACATTAGATCATTTCATTTGGTTATGTGGCCATTTTGCAACATTTTCACTAGTCAAATATGTATTCACATTGTTTTCTTTGTCATCTTAACAAAGGAGGTCGGTATCAGTATCAGTTGATCTTTGCTCCACTTCACTGTCCCAGGAAGTTTGACTCACATGGCCAATGTCAAAGTCCTCTCCCTCCTCTTCATCGACATCCATCCATCCACAACACTCTTCTGTTATGAAAGTGTTTTGTCATAATGGATCATCTTCATCACTCATGCATGAGTAATCTGACGATTCATTCACTTGTGACCTCCTCCAAGATATAGTTTTCACATGCCATTGTACAGAACTGGGCTATTTCCACCAGAAAAATCAAAAGAAAGCTTTTAAAAAGACAAATCCTGGAGTAATGGGAGATTATTGAACCCTCTTTGATGCTTGAATAAACACACAAAAGCAGTTAGATGGAGCACAACGTGGGTGAAAATCCCATTTTGAGACTTTTCCACTTGCTCACCCACTTCATTGTTTGACACAGCAAGTTGGTAATCACATAAACTGCTTTCCAGTGTTCCTCAGGGGAAGGTAGTGACATGCCCAGCTGGCTATTGCACTAAAGTAAAATTTACTGGTACAGGATAGGCCTACTGCATGTGGTTATGTTGCTACCTACACTCTAATATGTCCTTGTGTCTCCTGAAACCTTTTCTTAACCAAAGACCCACTCCAACAGTAGAGTGGCCAACTCTTCTGTATTTGGCACAGAGGACTTTTACTTTGTACTTTTTCTACCTTCTTGCTTTGCATCTAATTGGGTGAGGTTTCCCATCTCGTCTCCCAGTCTCTGCTTTTGATTGGGAAGACACTGCCCCTTCATTAGAAGGGAATTAGAGCTTGCAAGAGTTTGCCTCTGTCAGGTGGCTGTTTCATGAGCCTTGCAGCATCTTGTCCTTGCTCTTTTTCATCTTCTTCTTCTTTATTTTTTAAAATTTTATTTTATTTTATGTTTTTCGTATCAGGGATCAAACTCAGGACCTCACACTTGCCAGACAGATCTTATGCTGCTGAGTTAAATCCCTGGCCTAAATAGAGGATAAAACCAAGGAAAATAAAACAGAACAAAACCGATCAAGATAAACCAGTATAAGTGATACAGGTCTTTAAAACTTAGAAAATCAGCAATAGTTACCATAATGCCTCTATCATCTTCAAAATAGCTGCAGATACCTTTGGACCTGGTAAAAATCAAACAACAGAATAGAGCAGAAACAACAAACACAAAACAATGACTGCAGTAAAGGACTTCAAAACAAGCTCACAGTAAGTCCAGAATGGCTACCATAACACGTCTTGCTATCTTTTGAACAGTTGTTCATGGCATCAGATTTAATATAATCAAACAAAATGAAAGAATAAAACCCAACCAACAAAGCAATGAAAATGACATGGTTTCCAGGCAGGGCCCACCCCCTTGTGAGGCCTGGTTCTCGCTCCACAGTCTGCGAATGCTGCTGACTGGGAGAGAGGCTTGGGCGTGGCTGTCCCCACTCCAGCAGCAGCTGTCCTGCTCTTCTGCAGGAGTCATTCGTTTTGGAGTCAATGGGCTCGTCACCTGTGTAAAAGCTATTTATGTTTTCTTTGAGGATGCCGTGGATATAACTTTGAAAATCCCAAGGCCACCCCAGGGTGGTGTGAATCCGTGGCAGTTAAACATAGCCATATACAGGATGCTGCCCCACATCTGGGGAGTGAGTTTGTAGTTTCCTCCACGTATGCCACACTGTGTCTCAGGAAATACAGTACTACAGGGTGCCTTGTTTTCTTTTCAATATGTGAGCCTCTAACATGTAGAATACAAAACCAGTCCTGATTTTCATAAAGGTCCACATATTCAGCTTTAACAGACTTTTCTTCAGACTTGAGTTCCTGCAAAAAAATTCTCCTTTGTGAGCCAGGGTCTTGCTCTGTAGCCCAGGCTGGCCTTGAACTCACAGTGATCATCTTGCCTCAGCCTCCTGAGTGCTGGATCACAGGCATGTGGGACCACAGCTGGTTCTTTCATTTCAACCTAAGGGACTCCTCTACCCAAGGCAGGCCTAGTAGGAAGGACGGACATTCTTCAGTGCTTGCATCTAGGAATGTCTGAGCTTTCCCCCTCATTTTAAGGACAGTTTTGCTGGATGTAAAATGCTTAGTTGAGAGAGCTTTTTGTTTTGTTTCACTGTTTCATTCACACAGCACATGTCCACCTGTTTCCTTCTGTCCTCCTGTAACAGAATATCCCGCACCCCAGTCAGTATACTGCAGTTCTTAGTTGTCCAGGTAACAGTTCTGTCTCTAAGAAACGGCTGGTCACTGAGACGCCTAGCTGGTCACTGTGATGCACGCTGCATAAACCAACCCCAATCAACAAGCCATTTTGCCCCGGTACTCCCCACTTGCTTATCCTATACAGGCCTCAGACCATCAGAGATCAGGCCCTGATATTCTGGGAATGTACCAATCAGTGCCCGTTGGTGTAAATAAATGTGTCTCCAACTCCTGGGTGTCCTTTCTGTGACTGTGCTTGCCGCTGCTCTCCAAGGATTTTGAGGATAAGTCTAATGATTATGTTTTTGGGGAATTGCTGTCAGCTGCACAGGCATTAATTTATTTGTCATATTTTATACACTGAACGTTACGTTATTCTAATGTAAGTGAAGTTGCAGCATCACTTTGACACCAGTAAGAATTAAGAGCAAAAGGAACTGGAGATGCTGAGTGTAGACATCATGGGATCTCTAAATGCAAGAGGTATTACAGATGCTGAGAACAGATTCTCAGAACAGAAACAAAAAGGGATATTGAAGCATCCTACAGGTCTGAATTTCTAAAACAAAAGTGTCAATCTCCATAACTCACATTAGTAAGACATTTTGTAACATTTTTCTGTTAGAATCAAAAGACCCTCATGGCCAAGAGTGTGATGAGTGAAGTGGAGGTGACCAGCTCTGCCTGGGCCCACTGGCACCATGACCTCACAAGATCCCCTGTGAGGTCACAGCAGTTAGCTGTGTAAGGTAGGGTGTTCACCCCAGAGACTCTTTGTGGGTGAAGTAGATTGGTGTTTGGAGTTGAGTTGGCGTTTTGAGATTCGAAATTTTTGTCATTGATTTTATAAAGCCTAGTTCCATCAGGGCACCCTTCGAGGTGGGTAAAACATCTTTGCTGGACGTCATGTCATCGTCCACAGAAATGTCATCGTTCACAGGAAACTTCCATCAAGACTATGACGTGCTGATGCCCCTTGGTGAGGGTCACTTTGCCAAGGTGGTACTCGCTGAACATGTGAGCACAAGGATGCTGGTAGCTGTGAAGGTACTTCAAAAGGACAAGTTGAGGCCTACTGCTGTTAGACGGGAGGTCAGCATCCTAAAGGACCTTCAGCACCCCAATATCATTCAGTTGCTGGAAGTGTCAGAAAATAGTACCACTATGTTCCTGGTAATGGAATATGCACGCGGGAAAGACCTGCAGCGACATATCAAGCGTGCTGAGAGACAGAAGCTGCAGGAGGAAAGGGCACGGCTGATATTCCGAGAACTCCTGGAGGCTGTGCAGTACTGCCATAACAGGGGAGTCATCCATGGGGACCTGAAACCGGCGAACATATTAATGGACCGTGAAGGCCACCCCAAGCTCAGCGATTTTGGCGTGGCTTTCAGGTTCCTTCCTGGCCAGGAGGTGACCACGTGTGGAGGCACCCGAAAGTATGCTGCCCCAGAGATATTTTTACAAAAGAAATACCAAGGCCCACCACTGGACATTTGGTCTTTAGGGATACTTTTATTTGAGATGCTCGCTGGGGTACGCCCATTTAGTGGGAGCCAAACACGACTGACAAAGGATGCCCTAAAGGGGCGATACCAGTTTCCCCAGCACTTCTCCAAAGAGGTGCAAAGCTTAATAAAGGGTCTTCTCAACCCTGACCCAAGAATGCGCCCTACTTTAGAGAAAGTAAGGCAGCATCCATGGCTTCAGCTTGAATCTGTCCCTTGTCATCCTCCTCAACTGCTCCCCAAGGCCACAGAAAGGGCAATATTGCACATTATGGCTGGGAAGGGGTACAACCGGCTGAAGGTGATTGATGCAGTGAAGTGCAGAAAATACGATCCTGACATGGCGCCCTTCCTGCTACTACAGGACATGGCACTCGAGAAACTCCACTTGAGGTCTGAGGTGAAGCCCACACACAAACGTGAGGCTGAAGATCTGTTTGAACAGTCCACAAACAAAGATGAGTATACAGATGAATATCAGCCATCTTCATCTCCTCCCCCTGTAGCATCTCACAAACCAAGCCGTGCTATTGCTACTACCAAGGCCTGCCAGCCCAGCCATACTACTACCATCAAGTCCTGCCATCCAGGCCCTTCTACTCCCAAAGCATCCCGTCAACCAAGCCCTGCTTCTCCCATCAAGTCCTATCATCCAGGACCTGCTACCCCTAAAGCATCCCGTCAACCAAGCCCTGCTTCTCCCATCAAGTCCTACGATACAGGACCTGCTACCCCTAAAGCATCCCGTCAACCAAGCCCTGCTTCTTCCATCAAGTCCTACCATTCAGGGCCTGCTACCCCTAAAGCATCCCGTCAACCAAGCCCTGCTTCTTCCATCAAGTCCTACCATTCAGGGCCTGCTACCCCTAAAGCATCCCGTCAACCAAGCCCTGCTTCTCCCATCAAGTCCTATCATCCAGGACCTGCTACCCCTAAAGCATCCCGTCAACCAAGCCCTGCTTCTCCCATCAAGTCCTACGATACAGGACCTGCTACCCCTAAAGCATCCCGTCAACCAAGCCCTGCTTCTTCCATCAAGTCCTACCATTCAGGGCCTGCTACCCCTAAAGCATCCCGTCAACCAAGCCCTGTTTCTCCCATCAAGTCCTACGATACAGGACCTGCTACCCCTAAAGCATCCCGTCAACCAAGCCCTGCTTCTTCCATCAAGTCCTACCATTCAGGGCCTGCTACCCCTAAAGCATCCCGTCAACCAAGCCCTGCTTCTTCCATCAAGTCCTACCATTCAGGGCCTGCTACCCCTAAAGCATCCCGTCAACCAAGCCCTGCTTCTCCCATCAAGTCCTATCATCCAGGACCTGCTACCCCTAAAGCATCCCGTCAACCAAGCCCTGCTTCTCCCATCAAGTCCTACGATACAGGACCTGCTACCCCTAAAGCATCCCGTCAACCAAGCCCTGCTTCTCCCATCAAGTCCTATCATCCAGGACCTGCTACCCCTAAAGCATCCGGTCAACCAAGCCCTGCTTCTTCCATCAAGTCCTACTATACAGGACCTGCTACCCCTAAAGCATCCCGTCAACCAAGCCCTGCTTCTCCCATCAAGTCCTACGATACAGGACCTGCTACCCCTAAAGCATCCCGTCAACCAAGCCCTGCTTCTTCCATCAAGTCCTACCATTCAGGGCCTGCTACCCCTAAAGCATCCCGTCAACCAAGCCCTGCTTCTCCCATCAAGTCCTATCATCCAGGACCTGCTACCCCTAAAGCATCCCGTCAACCAAGCCCTGCTTCTTCCATCAAGTCCTACTATACAGGACCTGCTACCCCTAAAGCATCCCGTCAACCAAGCCCTGCTTCTTCCATCAAGTCCTACCATTCAGGGCCTGCTACCCCTAAAGCATCCCGTCAACCAAGCCCTGCTGTTCCCATCAAGTCCTGTAAAACCAGCCGTGCCTCTACTGAGTCATACTGGCAGCCCAATCCTGCCTCTCCCGGTGAGTCCTTCCAGCACAGCCCTGGGACTCCAAATGCTGCCTTCACTGCTGCCCCAGCCCCTGTCAGCAGTAGGAGGTGGGGCTGGAAAACTGTCAAGAGAACCATGAGAGACTGCCTGCAGGCCCTGTGCTGCTGCCCCCTATCGACGTGCAAGTGTCACAAACACAAGGTGGTCGCAGTGTAAGTACTGCACAGTAGAGAACCAGAGGTCACTCAAGGAGTCTGAGTGGTCCGGCTGCTTCCTCAGAATGTGCTGTGTCTCGATATCATTTTCAACTGTCAGGGAAGAACTGTAGGGAGGAGAGGAGGGGAGGGAGAAGGGTAGGTGTGGGCAGAGGCCAGGTGTGGGTAGGAGGAGTTGCAGTGGGGTCTGCTGCAGAGGAGGCTGGAGTGACCACAGCCACCACTGTATGCTGTGTTTCCCAGTGAGCGTGCATTACACATGTCTCCTTGCCTTTGTAGTGCAGATCCATGATCCCTCCTATGGATGTGGTCATCCTGACAGCGAGGTCAGCCACACAAGTGGAAGCCACAGTGAGTTGCCTTGCAGCCCTTTGTGCAGGGAGCTGGAGGGGAGAGGAGGAGTCAAGATCACTAGTGTATCCTGTGGGCGAGAAGCAGAGGGAGGGGTTGGTGCACAGCATGGGAAGGCTGCACAGGCACCAGGAACTGAGAGCCAGCGAGAGGAAGACAGGAGGAGCAGGGGGGAGAGTCACCTGGCTTGTGTCCTGCTGTCTGAGGGAGGCTGCCCCAGGGACAGGGAGGGCTGGGCACCATGGACCTGACCACAACCTCCCATGAGGATGCAGGGAGACCTGGGTACCATGGACCTGACCACACCTGACCACTACCTCCCTTATTGTGCCTGGCAGTAGGGTGTGTTCTGGGAAGAGCAAGGGGTCATCTACCATCACCCCCACACATCCCCATGAAGAGACATGGACCCAAACCCTGGTCTTCTGAATGCTGTCCCCAAGTCTGTGTCTGCAAGCCTTTGAAAGGAGCCCATTGAAGTCTTGTGTCAGTAAACAGAGACTCATATCCAGCCTTGAGGGCACACAGGCATGCGTGTGGTGGGGACAGAGTTTGGAACAAGAGAAATCTCCACACGTGATGGTGTTGCTTGCCACCGTGGGAACAGTGACATTTGGTAAAGAGAAGACATTCGTGGCTTCCAAACTGTGGTCTGTGTTTGCAGCACCTGGGGCAGGATCTGAACCAGAGAGTGTTCAGGGCAAGTTGGAACATGCACATAACACATGTCATGGTGCATCTTGCTTCTGCATTTTCTCATTTTCTATCTTTGTACTTGTTTTCTGCCTTGAGGCTTGTAAATTGCTTATGGTCAGTAGTTTATTACTAGTATTGGGACCTCTTAAGGAAATGACTATTTTCAGAGATGTTCTGTAGGGGTAGCTGGCTTTGGATTCTGTCATCCCAAGATTTTGCCTCTTCTTTTCTTAAAGGAACTTTTTTTTTTTTTTCAAAACGAGAAACTATGGAATTTCTTTTTTGGTACTGGGAGTCAAACTCAGGGTCTTGTGTTTGCCAGGCAGGAGCTGTGCCACTGAGCTCCATCCCCAGCCCTGCCTCTTCAGTTCGGTAGGAATGAAGGGCTGCTGCCTGTTTGGCCCAGCACCCAGTTCTTATAGTTCTGTAGTCCAGAACTACAGGATTGTTTGTGCCCCTCAGACAACTGAGGTGGTGGTGTTCAAAGAAGATCAGTTGATGCCAATAACTCTGTCACTTTGGCTAACATAGTACAATCAGCTATAACAACTGCAACCAACACAGCCAGGAAATGATAAACTCTTATGACCAAGGACATGCCTGCTTTAATCACAGGTATGAGATTTGTAGTTACACAGCCAACTATAAGGCAAAGCAGAATATTATATACAGTAAGTATATACTCAGTAGAGCAATTTGCCCTAAAGGGAGAAAATTTATTAGGGATACCAAGAAAATATAGAAAAATAAAAGAGAGATAAGAAGACTGAAGTACAAAGGGAGATTACCAGGCCTTAGAAAACGAGTGATAAAACAGGAGCAAAAAGCAGGACCAAAAAAGAGAGAAAAATACAAAAGCTGAGAACAATGTACACAGGCAGGAAAAACAAAACACAAAGACAAAAAGTTCTCTGACTTTAAACCTGTGGCAGGCCTCTGCGGTCTGTGGTCTTATTGCAGTGTCCAGTGCAGAGAAGACAGTGGAGGCACTCCAAGCCCAGCTGCGTGCTGTCAGATCCCAGCAAGCCTGCAGTAGTGTTTCGGGCCCCTGAGTTAGCTAGAAATACTATAGGCAGGGAGACAGGGCTAGGTCCTGAAGGAGCCAGTGCAGGAGCTCAGATACCTTGCAGCTAAGGGGAGACAGGCACCTCCTGCTGTGGGCCAAACCTCAAGACAAAAGATCAAACAAATACATCCATAAGGACTGATGTTCTAAATAGCTTCTTAGCACCCCGCGGAAGTCAGGAGTCACCATTCCAACCCCCTAGGGAAGATTCACTGCTCTCTAAGAATGCCTGCTTTCTAAGTGGCTCACTTCCCCATTTGTCCCCAATTTAATGAATTTACCTGAACTATTAATCTTATTGGTTAACCATAGTTCTGCCCTACCTTATGCCCATCTGCCTTGTGAGTTCCCAGTTTTGCCCACAAGTCCATCTCATCCCATGATTTTCCTCTATAAACGTCCCTGGGAAAGACAGAGTCCCACTGCTTGGGACTCCTCCTGTCTCTCTCAGACAGAAGCTTGCTTTCTCTCAATAAATATATTTTACTCTTTACCTCTATTGTTCCTAAAATTTACTCTTTGATTTTAGAGAACACGAATTCACCTTCAGCCGGTTGTACCCCTTCCCAGCCATAATGTGCCCTTTCTGTGGCTTTGGGGAGCAGTTGAGGAGGATGACAAGGGACAGATTCAAGCTGAAGCCATGGATGCTGCCTTACTTGCTCCAAGGTAGGGCGCATGCTTGGGTCAGGGTTGAGAAGACCCTTGATTAAGCTTTGCACCTCTTTGGAGAAGTGCTGGGGAAACTGGTATCGCCACTTTAGGGCATTCTTTGTCAACTGTGTTTTGCTCCTACTGACATAGTAGGTCAGGAGTTTCACTCCCCTATATCATTTGGAGGTCTTCCACTGAGATCAGCCAGCTTGGTGCATGCTCCAGTATCTTAACAGTATTGAAAGTATGGCTCACATCATGAGTCACTTAGTTAAAAATGTTCACAGTATGTTGTACATCTAAGAAAGCACAATAAATACAACATATTATGGACCTTTTTTTTTTTTTGTCCCAGGGATTAAACTCACAACTTGCAGTTGTCAAGCAGGCACTTATGCCACTGAGCTAAATCCCTAGCCCGATATTACAGACTTTTAAAACTAACTGTGTGGTCCTTGAGACAGTAAACTGTCTGCATTCAAGGCCTGGATCCACCTGAAACTGCATGTACAATTCAGGTGAACTTACGTCTTGGCTTGCTGGCCTTAAGAACAGTAAGGATACCCTAGCAATAATTAAAATCTGTTGTGACTGTCACATCTTTTGTCTTTTTTTTCCTTTAGATCACCTTATCTCCTAGGTTACTGAATTAAACAGTGTATGTAAAGGTCCTGGAGGAGTGATGTTCCATCAAGTGTCACACATGTATTTTATTTTAATTGTGGTTTTTGTTAATCTATGTTCAAGCAGAGGTAGGAAAGTTTATGTTCACGTATAGAAAAATCTCTTGCATGTGTATTTCAACAAAAGAATATGTAATAGAGCAGTAACCCTTCTTCACTTATTCTTAATAATAAAATAAACTGATTACTATGTGTACTGTTTCAGGCACTTAATAAAGCCCAACATAACACAATACAAACCGTACTGATGCCACTGGATATTAAAGGAATTAAGCAACTGAGCTACACTAGACTTCATTTCAGCATTTTAGATCCTTTCAAAGGACTACACTTGAATGTCTTTGCACGATGACCACTTAGTTCTTTATACTCTGACCTTGGTTAAGCCCAGTTATGTTCCTTTTGTTACCAGGGTTCTCCAGGTGATCACCTGATTGCTCCACTCCTGATTGGTCAGCTTTTTAATACTGAGACACCTGATGAGCTTATTCATTTATTTATTCATGGACCACTGTTTCTTGCTTGTACCTCTGGCTGACTAAACTAGGAACAGATTCAGTCTTGCAAGATTGTTGCAAAAAACAGAAAAAAAAATTCGTCTTCTACTTGAAAAAGCCCATCTAAATTTAAAAAAAATAACTATTCTTCCGGGAGAACATGGCGGACAGATAACAGCAACTACCAGAGGCTCTCTGAAAAACTAGGCTCAGAAGCCAGGTATGGTGCGGACTAAAGAGACATAAGCAGGTGGAGTTATGCTCTGCTGACTCAGGAACGAAGTCCGCTGAGAGAAACCAACTTGGAATGCAGTCCTGGTGCTAAAACAGGAACAGAAAAGCCTCTGCTGGACCCCGCGCCATTGGAAGCCGCGAGTTGGGTTTCCCACCGCGCGGTGGCTGGCTGCCTCTACATCGGCTCAGCAAGGAGAGAGACACACGGAAACTCTGAGAACGGGAGTTTGCGAATGGAGTCGAAAACAGGACGGGCAGGGAGGCATGTTCTGACTTGTGGCGAGGTCAGTGAGAGAAACTGACACTCCACCACAGTTTGAGTCCAGCGGATTTTCTGGGCCCGAGCAGTCCTGCGGGAGCAGGGCGCGGTGGCGACTCCAGCCACACATTCCCCTCTCGGGCGGGATTGGTGAAAAGTGCCTGGCCTGCGCGAAGCTGCCGGCGGACCCCATAGGCTGGCCCGACCCAGATCCCAGAGCCCCACGGAGGCCGGGAGGGGCGGGCCCCGCGTAGGCTGCCTGGTGCGCAGAGGTGAGTGGGAACACCTAACTGGCGCAATTCAATCAGGCTGTGGCTGACAGGGAGAGAAGCTGGGCCTCTCATATAAGCTTGCATATATAAGGAACAGGGAATATGGGAAGAGGCAGCAACAAGAAAGGCTCCTCGGCCCCCAACTCTGAGAAACAGGCAATAGCGGACACCGCACCAATAGACATAAAGCGCCATATAGAGAGCCTCATAGACCAATTCAGGAATGAAGTTATCAATGACCTGAAGCTAGAAGTATGCAAAATTGTTAGAGAAATGCTAAGCACCACCCAAGAAAAAACAGATGGTGGAATGGAAGAAGAGAAAAAGAGGGGAGAATTGTTTGATGGAGATAACAGGGAAAGTAAAGAATACGTGAAGCAGGTTCAAAGGGACTACCAAGAAACTAAGAAGTCTATCGAAGACTGGCATAACAGCTTGAAAGAAACTAAGGACAGACTATCTGAACTGGAGGGCAGAATTGTAATATGGGAGAATGAAATGAAAAACTTCTTGAAAATAATAAAGAAACAAACAGCAATAATACAAAGACAAGAAGATGATAAGAGGATCCATAACTTAAGGATTAAGAACACAAAAGAAGAAGTAGGGACACAAACAAATGAACTACAAAAGCTACTCACAGAAATAATCCAGGAGAATTTTCCTAATTTAGCAAAAGGTAAAGATACTCAGATGTATGAGGCATACAGGACCCCAGCTACCTACAACCCAAACAGAGCAACACCCAGGCATATAATAATAAAAATTCCAGAAATTCAATACAAGAACAGAATATGAAAAGCTGTCAGAGACAAGAAACAGACCACTTACAAGGGAGCACCCATCAGAATTACAGCAGATTTCTCTGCACAAACCATCAAATCACGAAGAGCGTGGGGGGAAATAATTCAAGCTTTGAAAGATAATAATCTCCAGCAAAGATTGAGATATCCTGCACAACTGTCCCTGGAAATTGATGGAAAAACAAGGTGCTTCCAGGATAAAGAGGAACTGGGGGAATTTGCAACCACCAATTCAACTCTAGAGAGAGTATTACAGGATATTCTAAAAAAAGAAAAATACAAAGAATCCAGAAATAGTGGAGGCCACAACGAATGGAGCAGAGAACAAAGTGAAGAAGACAAACTGACAGCTACTGACAGAATAAGAGCTCAACAGAAATGAGGCAGAGAAGATTGGATGATAGGAACAGCTATTTTGGAGAAAATGACATCTTAGTAGGTAATACTGATTTAGTATCATCTTGTTTTGAAGTCTCATCTAGCTTTTGTCCTTCTGTCTCCATTGGTCTAAACAGGTTGTATCTTATTGGATTTTATTATGTACGATAGTATAAGCAAAAACCTTTTAAAGACAAGGAGATTATACAGAAACCATTGTTCATTTTCTGTTAGTCGATTCTAAATACTCTGTAATGCTGTCATTCTCTTAAATGGTTTTACATTGTTTTGATATACTTAATGCTACAGTATACGAAGTTGTACTCAAGGATTTCAAGGAAAGAGATAATATGGTAACTACTTTTAGGTCAGGATTATCTAGTGGTGAAACAGTATTCTGCTTAAATGGTTATCTTTTGATCTGCGCTGTTTTGTTGTTATGCCCTCTTTTATCTCAATCTCCACTCCATTATTTACTTTTTTATTTTTATCCTTTTAATTAAAGGAAAAAATAGCAGGATATATTATAGTAACCCACTTTGACTTTCCATTACCTCGATTTAAAGCCCTGTATTACTCTCACCATCTGGTTTTTAACTGATGTTCCCCTATTCTGTTTTGCTGGATAGTATCAGGTTCGAAAATTTAGGCATCAGCTGTGAAGATAATGAGACTCATTATAATGCCCATTCTCATTGACTTTTATCTACTTTTGAAGACCTACAATGTCTCCAATGTTTTGGTTTTGTCGGTTTTATTCTTTACTGTTTTGTTCAATTGTATTATAACTAACGATATAGGCAATTCTATTAGAGATAGCGGGAGGCATTATGGTAACCATTGTTGATCACCTTGTATTATGTTTTCACATTATCTATTATGTCCACCCTTTTGACTTGACCGATTGCATTCTGTTATGTCCCATTTGGTTTTACTCTCTTCCAAAAAAGTAATAAGAACCGTGGGAGCAATGAAACCCAAATTGTACAAAAGAGAGGAAAAGAAAGTGCTCTAAACTATATAACTGCATGTATATTTAAGTGTATAAGATAGAAAATGATATCAGAGTTTTATTGGATCATTGAACAGAACTATTTGCAGTATCATTGATGGAATGTCCACTTTACAAGCTTTAATTTTGTGACTTGAACAATTATTTCTAAGATGACAATATGTAATCCATTAACTAGTGATTTCCTACTGTTCATTTTTTTTCTGCAAATCTGTATAACTTGTACCCTTTCTCTGCTTTTTTTTCTTTTCTCCTTAAATAGAATTAAAAAATAAATAAATAAAAATAAAAAAATAACTATTGTGCCCAATGTGACTGGTGATTATAGAGATAAAATACAAGTTCTTGCATGTGCTGTGGATATCTGGGAGACTATGCCGCACAATTACTTTTGTTACCTATGAAAAAGCCTTTTTTTTTTTTGTTAAGTATGTAATTTCAGTAAAACAGTGGCCTGCCATGTGGGCAATGGCCCACCCTGGGACAAAAAAAAAGCAGTGTGCCATCCGGATAAAACCTGCCTCTGATCCAGAATGCCAAAACCATGTTTTCCTTTTGTCCCACCCCAATTGGACAACCAGAGATGAGGAGGTTCCTTATCGGTATCGCCAGTTCTTCTCAGTAGCCATTAGGGCACCCCAGAAAACCCACCAATTTGCCCAAGAGAGCAGAGGTGAGGCAATTGGCTCAACAGAGACTTATTAGTCTCCCTCGGGGTTTTCTGAAAAGAGTGCAAAAGCCCTATCACATTTATACACCAGTAGTGGCTAAAAATGCAAGGGCCATTAATATTGCCTTTGTAACCCAGTCGGCCACTGATATTAAGCAAAAATTGCAAAAGTTTGAGAGATTTGAGGAAATGCCCTTCAATCAGTTATCAGAGGTTGCTTAAAAGATATTTGACAACCGGGAGGACCCTAAAGACCTGGCTTAAGAGGTTTCTGCTGGGCAGAAAAACTGCATTGGTTGTTGGACTTTCCATAAAAAAATAAAAATAAATGACTCTTTCCTCCCAGCAGATGCAAGCCATCCAACAGATTTCAGTGCCTGTGACTAAAAACCGAGTGGAAAAATTTCTAGGAGCCATAGGACTGACGCAGAGTTTGGGACCCTGGCAGAGGCCTGTTGCCTATCTTTCCAAGAGACTTGATTATGTGGCAGCCAGATGGCCACCTTGTCTGTGGGTGTTTTCCTCGGTAGTCATCCTGATAGAGGAGACACAAAAACTGACTTGTGGACCAAAATTCTTAATTGTTTCCTCCTATTCGCTGGAGACTCTCATCAAGCCTCCACCGGACCAATGGCTGCCCAACTCCCAAGTCATGCATTATCAGGCATTACTTCTAGATCTGACTACCATCAGTTTCAAGGGACAGCGGCTTCAAACCCTGCTACTCTGCTGCCTGATGATGCCCCTCCTTGCCCCTCCACATCTGTATTGGGGACCAGACTTGACAGATGAGCCACTATTCAGAGTTCCTTTGTATTTCTCCGATGGAAGCAGTTAAATTTATCCAGGTAAGTGGGTCGTGGGAGCAGCCATTACTACAGACTCGCAGATTCTATGGGAACCAAGCCTGGAGCCAAAAACATTGGCCCAACAGGCTGAACTCATTGCCCTCAGTGAGACCTCAAGTTGTCAGTATGCATTTGTTACTGCCCATGTTCATGGGACCATTTATAAAGAATGGTGCTTATTGTCTTCTGGGGCCAAAAGATTAAAAATGTTTCCCAAATTTTGGACTTGTTGGCTGCCATCTGGATGCCAGGAAGAGTGGCTATTATCCGCTGTAGAGCCCATTGAGCAGGAGATGGCCTTGTTATATGAGGAAATAATTTGGCAGATGCCACCACCCACAAGGCAGCTGTAGAATCAGTGGGGATTTGAGATAGCCCTGACATTACTGCATTCCCACCTACTTTGTCAGAGCCTATTTGCACTTGAAAAGACTTGCATTTGGGGACTAATATCAAAGCTTGCCCAGCCTGTGAGCCTCAGATGCCCTCAGTGCCATTTGGTGAACCCAAAGCAGCCACTCACTAAGTGGGACTATGCCTAGAGAACACTGGAAGGTAGACTTTACAGAAATGGGGAAGCCTGGACTTCAATGATATGAGTATTTACTTGTAATGGTTGATAGTTTCACTGGATGGATAAAAGCTTCTTCTACAAAATCTGAGTTAGCTGTGATAGTCAAAAAGCTCTTATGTGAGGTTGTCCCACAATTTGGCCTCCCCTTATCCATCGGGTCTGAGAATGGCCTGGTTTTTATGGCCCAGATAACTCAAAAACTAACCAAAGCCTTGCAGATCAATTGGAAACTCCATTGTGCTTACTGCCTTCAAAGTTCAAGACAAGTAGAAAAGATAAACCAGACATTAAAGATGGTAATTACTAATGGCCTTAGAAACTGGTGAGAACCAGGGGAGTCTCCTTCCTTTTTTGACCTCTTGCATGCGCAATGTACCCTCTATGTTACTGATATTTCCCCTTTTGAGGCTTTATATGAGAGAACTCCTCTTATACCTAAGATTTCTGAGGAAAAATTAGCTGATTTAGCTAATCAAGATCTTATTAAGTCTCCCCAAACTCTTCAGGGAGTTCTGACTTCCATCCACCGGTTATTTTAACAACAACATCCTCCACCTGCAGCCCACTGAGAGGACAAACACCCTGCTGTAGAGCCTGAGTCGCCGGTGCTCATCAACAGGATTCACCATGGATCTCTTGAGCCATTGAAAAGGTCCCTACATTGTAGTCCTCAGCACTCCAACTGCTATCAAAGTAGCCAGAAAGCCTACCTCGATGCATCATTCCCACTTCAAGCAGGTCCTGGCTTCCAAAGGCGATCAACCTACAGATAAGTGGACTGCCATTCCCTCCAAGGACTCTTTAAAGCTCAGGATTGCCAAATGTAACTAATAATCTTATGTTCTCCCTTATGGAGACCCCAAGGAGGCCTCTATCTGGCTTTTAAAAAATTGTTAATTATGTGACAAAACAGTGAATTTAAATGTTGGTTTTCTTTCTCCTTTTGGTTAACAGCTTTAATAATGACAGCTGCAAGAAATTTGTTAATCTTCCTATTGGGCCTTGTATTATACACAGATTAGTAAACTATGTCAAAGGTTCAAATTATACAGCTTATGATTTTAAAGACGCAAGGTTATAAACAGGTACCTATGTCTGAAAACCCATGAGCCAATGATTTGGTGCACTGACTAAAATCAGTGGGGAAAGCTGTACACTAGCTAAAAGAGCTTTGTTATGTTTGTATTAAGCCAAAGTACCTGTAACGCCACCTACTGTTTTGTATGCAATTCCCCCCCTCTGGGTGACCTAACTGATATGTTAATCAATGCTCCCTTCTGTAAAAAATTGTAAATCCCGGGAACCTAACCTAATTGATATGTTAACCATTGTTGCCCTTTACTAATAACAGATGTGGTGCTAAAATCAGCTGACAAAGAATTAACTAATGCTAGACTACTCTGTCCTCTGCTAAGGAAAACATTTCCTTAGCAGATTTCCTGATCCACCCCCATAACCCCTTTACTTTGTAAACTCTGCTCTCTACAAGAGGCTAGAAAGCCTTAAGGAGGACACACAGCTTTTGCAAATTCCAACTGCACTGTGTTGCAGGGCCCAGGATAAAATAAATCAGCGCTGCTTTTTGAAAATAAAAACATGTCTTGCCCATTTTTGAACTTGAGTTTAGGCTTTGGGGGGCTTGTTTGTGGATTACAAGATTTAATGGCATATTTTTATTATTTTATTCTTTCACATGTTATATTAGTTGCTAAAGTTACTGGTATTCCTTGCTTAACTATATTTAGACAATAGCACCACAGATGATAATAGAACACCCTCAACAGTCTTTAATATAAATTTCTATTAAATGGTTCTCTTAAATGAAATCTAGTTCAGACTTAGAAAACTTACATGCCTACAATAAAACATGGGACTCGTTCCACCATTTAAGAAGCACTAGGCTGGTGGCCATGCTTCCGGACTTGGAGGACAGGTTTCACTGAGACAGACTGGCTCTGATCCTCCTTTATCCTCCAGAGGAATGTCAAGCCTGTTCTGCTTCAGTTTCCTTTGTTTCACTTTACCTCTTACTCTCTTGCCACTTTACATTTTCCTAATAAAGGCATATAAAAGTGGGAAAAACTCTAGATTATTCCAACCTTTTCCTTCTGAGTTAAGCCCATAGAAAATGAGCATTTGCTAATGCCAAGGACAGGGAAGTCATCTTAGATGAGGGACACATACTCCATCTCTGAATCAGATGAGACATCAGAATTGTGCCCATTCAGGAGAATACACATGAAAGCTGTGTCCCAGCTCAGTGTTCTGGGCAAATCTCCTTTGGAAATTAAACCCAAGACACAGTGGGGAGAACCAGTTTCCATGTGGCAATGGAAGCAGCTATCCTTAAAAGCAGCACACATAGGGGACCTAAACCTATTTAGAATAAGGAGACTTTCCAACCTCTCAAATTATGGACTTAAAAACCTTTATTATAAATTGATAAAGAAGTAGGTAATGATCTTGCTCAGTCTTTTAATTATCCCTCATAGAATTTTGACACACAGTGGTCACTGTGCCAGCTAATTATCCTTATAGCAACTGCCACCCTCAAAATCAGAGGCTAGCTTTCCCCAGCATCTGTTTGGTGAATCCCCATGGAAGCCAGTGGCCAATGGAGTCAACAGAATGTTGACCAGACAGACAGCTGGATTCCTTTTTGGAGACTGATGTCTGGTTATCTGAGGCAATAGAAACTGAGAACTGAGGGTTCCTGGCCAGAGTAACACTCTGGTTGTCACCCAACATTTCCTCAATGGACATTTGCTCATGACCATTTAAAATCTCCTCTTTTCTATCATTCTTATTTCTCTGCTAGTAGACTAAAAACATTCTAAACTTTTCAATAGATCTTCAGATCACTTAAACTACCCGTCCCTTCAGAGATTATACTGAGGTAGCTTGCAATGATTGCTTACATTCCATAGCAGCTACTAGGGAAATGATTTACCTATGTTAATTAAAAGTAAATAGACTTGAGCAATTATTTCTAAGATGACAATGTGTAATCTATTATCTAGTGATTTCTATTTTTTTGAAATTCTGTGTTACTTGGACTCTTTTTCAGTTTTTTTCTTTTCTCTTTAAATAAAAGTTTTTTCTTTTGTCTTTAAATAAAATTTTTAAAAATGTAACTAGGATTTTTTGTGTGACTAGAAGACTGATGTGCCTCTTTCTAACTTAAAATGTGACTGCTAGATGATAATTTATAAATTTAACCTGTGAGCTTCAAAGATACAGAAATCTAAATGAAGTATAACCTTGTCCTGTTACGAAGAAAGATTACCTAGATAAGTGAGAAACAAATGTCTGGAGACTCTTGCCCAGATTAAGGAGTAAGGCTCCTCCAGTCAGTTGTTCTATCTATCTCTAGAGGAGAGTTACTCTAAAAAACCTGAAAAGTACTCTACCACCAATTCACCTTTTAATGTATGCTCCCTTATAATACATGCTTACAAAGTCATGCTTCCTTCTTAAACATTCTTTATGGAAACAAAACTCACGAGCTATCTAGCAATACAGGATTGTGTGCCAGGTCCAGGGTGGATAAGCTGACAGAATCTATCGTCCATTCTCTCCAGAGGGCATTCACCTGCCCTGGAGCAGTTTCAACCCAAGAGACACATGGGGAACATCTATCAAATAGGAAAAAAAAGGACATCTTATTTTAACTCATTTTATGCATTAACTAGATAGCTCAATATCACTCATAGCTCATCAAATGGTACTTAGTTCAATGCCTGGGTACAGAAAAGGTTTCATACTTATGCCTTGCTTTTACTTTATAGACATGGACAACAAAATGCCAAAGCCCCTTCTCCTTTGGAACACATTCTTAGGCACTAGATGTTCAAGCCTTCCATGTTGAAAAAGATCCATTTGGTATTTCTCTGCATGAGTGTGTGGCCTACCTACCCCCTAGAGCCTTAGTGGAATACAGAGGTAAGTATTAATTATGATCCTCTTTTACAACCAGAGACATACCATGACAAGCAGGAAAAATGGTCAGTGTTGTCCTACATTCAGACTTTCTATGCATTGGGAAATATTTCTTATTTATACTCTAAATGTAAATGTTAGCCACAGGAAAACTCAGCACCTCGGGCCCTTAAGGCATCTTCTCCCCAAGAGCAGAAAATTGCACCTCCTGAACCTTTAGAACCTGAGGACAAAATAGCCTTAATCAAATCCCCCCCCCTTTTTTTTTACTGAACCTAAGGTTTCCCCCACCTGCCCTTCCAGCCTTAAGGATAAAGCTTCTAGGCCAGCTGTAATCCAGGCCTCTCCAGGACTATACCCATCCTTAGCTGAGTTTAAGCAAGCTCCTCAAGGGCAGTATCCTTTGCAGGGAGTACATGGATGATCTGGAACTTCCAGAGTTCATGTACCTTTCTCTCTTGGTGACCCAAGACAAATAAAATTAGATCTTGGCAAATTTTCAGATGAGCCTGACAAGTACATTCAGGTCCTTAGAGGACTTACTCAGGCATATGAAGTAGATTGGAAAGATGTAGTGTTACTCTTAAATCAGACATTCACTTCTCGTGAGAGACACGCAGCATTACAGGCTGCTATTGCCTTTGGATATGAATACCATATTGTCAATTTTAGAAGGCCAGAAGATAAAGGGAAATAACTTTAGCAACTAGTTTAAATTTAACTTGTGCAAGAATAAAATAATAAAAATATGCCATTAAATCTTGTAATCCACAAACGAGCCCCCAAAGCCCAAACTCGAGTTCAAAAATGGACAAGACGTGTTTTTATTTTAAAAAAGCAGCACTGATTTATTTTGTCTTGGCCCAGCGACACAGTGCAGTTGGAGTTTGCAAAAGCTGTGTTCCCACTGGATCACAAACAGTCCCTATGCAAGACTCTTACTTGGCCCACAACCAGGTGGGTGATTGGATTAGAAAATATTTCCAGACATGTGTTCTTGAAGGCTGAAGAAGAGTGAGAACTAAACCATTCAATTATTTTAAGTTATCAGTTATTCAACAAGAAAAGAAGGAACAATTTTCTGCCTCCTTAGATGGATTATGAGAGGCATTGATAAAGCATACTTCTTTAGATTCTTATTCAATAGAGGGACAAATTATCCTTAAAGATAAGTTTATTACACAGTCAGCCTCAGCTATTAGAAAAAAGCTACAAAAGATGGCTTTTCCTCCAGATACTCCACTTGATACTTTATTTATTCATTGATTTTGTGTGTGTTGGAGTTTGTAGATCAAACACAACCACACATTGGCCAGGCAAGTGATTTTGCCACTGAGCTAAATCCCCAGCTCACTTGATACTTTAGTAAAAGTTGCCTCCTCAGTATTTTATAACTGTGAGAGGGATGTCAAAGAGAGAAAACAAAGAGACTGAGAAAAAGCAGCTGCTTTTGCACAGCATTAAGAGAAACAGACCCTAAGTCTGATTCTCAGGTCTCCAAGAAGAGCTCAACAATGACATTCACCTGCCATCACTGCCACAAGCCAGGTGACCTTAAGAGGGACTGCACTCAAAAGCCCCCTGGGCCATGCCCTGACTGCAAAGGTGACCACTGGATGTCAGACTGCCCTCTCAGCCCAAGGCCCCACCAGGGTTCAGATTCATCCTACCTTTACCTCTTATCAAAATAACAAATACACCTCAAAACCTAGGCCTCAGTCCGCCTGAAATGCCTTATGGATGCCCTTTCCTCACTGATGATTTTCTCTTTGTCAGAGAAACAGATGCCTTATAAAAAGACATCACCTCATTGGATAAACTCCAACAAACTCTTCAAGAGCTTACAGAAGCTCAGCCTACAGAGAAAGGAAAACCTATCTTCCACCCTGGAGATTTAGTACTGGTAAAATCCCCTCCCTCATCAGCCATTTGGAAGGACCTTACACTGTGATCCTGTCGACTTCTTCCATGCTGAAGACAATAGGCCTGGACACTCGGATGCATCACACCTGACACAAACCCTGGAAACTTGAGACTATCACTGGATGTGAACAACCACCCACATACTCCTGTGAACCCACAGAAGACCTAAGATTCCTCTTCAAGGAGAAAACAAAGACTTCAGGTAAGTAAGGCTACTATTAGCCCTTTTACTGTTCCCTTCACCACTGAAAGGAGGATGCAACTCCTTTTTAATGTGGGCACAAGCATATGCAAAATCATTACAACACAACTCTTGCAGGATATGTGGCTCACTGCCCTTGTCCAGTACATCAGGACTTCCTTGGTGGGTGTCTCCACTTCAAGGATGTGATTGGAATAAATTACAGGACTATAGTAATGAGATAACAAAGAAGTTCAGTATTCATAGTTCAGCCCACAATTGCATAGTAATAAAATGGCCTCTGAATATTATATTCTTAATGATCCTGTAAATTACATTGTTAATGATCCTGGACATAATCAGATTTTTTTCTTATAATGCCACTGGAGCCTCTCTACAGGCCTGTAAGGCCCCTGGTAGATAAAAAGAAAGGTCCTATCCTAAGGGCCAACAACCATAGATATCAATATGGCTATTTTCAAATATGGGATGAGTATCTATGATTAACTCCCACCATAGGATATCTCAGTAGAAAATCCCCCTTATGTTGGGAACAAAAACACCACTTTTATTCTGGTTGGCCTAATGCCACTACCCACCTGGGGTGGACAGCCCTTGAACAATGTGGACACACAAGTAACTTTTCAGGCTAATGACTGGTTTGCAACAGACTGGTTTAATGGCCCTGGAATCAAATGGGGAGCCCCGAATGGCACTCATTGGTCTTGTGGAGCCTATCTGTGGCCCTGCCTGGGCTCTGGATGGATAGGCAGATGCACACTAGGATTTGCATGGTTACAAGGCAGGAGTATCAAAAATGTCGAAAAACCGGCAAATTTACCCACGTACAACATCGAAGGTACAGAAGTGTGTTCCACTGGTATGATCATTTGGCCTCTGTGTTTATCCCTTCCCTAGGATTAGAAGACATCATGCAATGTACTGAGGCCTTGACTAACTATACCGAGTGGGCCTTAAATGACACTGCTGCTGGTCCCTCTTAAATAAGGAAAAAAAAAATAATGAGACAGGCTGTCCTTCAAACTCAGATGACATTAGACATTCTAACAGCAGCACACAGAGGCATTCGTGCCATTGTAAAAACTGAATGCTGTGTATATATACTCCTGACTCTTCTGCTAATATCTCAGTAGCTATTCAAGACATTAGATACCAAATTAACAATATGTAAGATTCTTAAGACTCCTGGACCTTGTCTTTCTCCTTCTTATGGAAATCTATTACTAGTTCCTATTGGTGGAAATCTTTGTTACCTATACTCATAATTGTTCTACTGGTTTTATTCTTTGGCCCATACATACTCAACTGTTTCTTTGTCTTTGTCTCCTCCAGACTTAGAGCTATATGTCTACCCAAGATGAAAATGCCTGGCATCTATTGGGGGCCTCTAGACAGGATCTCTGCAGAAGTATCTCTGACTGCTGGTCACCACTACAACCCTCTTCAGCCTGAAGAAGCCAGATCGGTCATCACCCATGACACCCTCATGGCAGTTCTGGTTACTTCTTCAGAGAGGGGACTGTTATAAGCAGCTGAGTTAGTTAGAAATACTACAGGAAGTGAGACAGGGCTAGGTCCTCAAAGGAGCCAGTGCAGAAGCTCAGATACCTTGCAACTAAGGGGAAGACAAGCACCTCCTGCTGTGGGCCAAGCCTCAAGATAAAAGACCATACAAATACATCCATATCCTAAGGAGTGAAGTTCTAAAGAGTTCCCTAGCACCCTGAGGGAGTAAGGAGTGACATTCCAAACCTTTGGGGAAGATTCACTGCTCTCTTAAGAATTCCTGCATTCTAAGTGATTCCCTTCCCCTTTTGTCCCCAGTTTAATCAATTTTACCTGAACTATTCATCTTATTGGTCAGTCATAGTTTTGTACCACCTTATGCCCATCTGCCTTGTGAGTACCCAGTTTCCCCATGTTAAACTCTTTTTAATGCCGTGATTTTACTCGAAGAGTCTTTAGAAAAAATAGAGTCCCTGGCAACCCGCTTGGGACCCCTTTTGTCTCTCTCTCAGACAGAAGCTTGCTTTCTCTCAATAAATATATTCTACTCTTAACCTCTGTTGTTCCTAAAATGCATTCTTTGATTTTAGAGGACATGAACTCACACTGGACATAGTGGGTTGGGAATTTCATTCCCTATATCAATAGGATCAGGGCTGAGTGCTGATTCTGGTGTTTTCAACTCCACAGAAGGTTAGGCTGATCCCAGCCTCTGGCTGTGGAGCTGACTGAACTGTTCAGCCCAGGACACTCTGGATGTGTCTCACCAGGCTGACTTCAGCTCTCTGACCCTGGACACCTCCTGCACTTGTCCCTCACCCAGCCACTGTGGGATTTCAACACTATGCGGACTGAGATGAAGCCAAACTCCAGCTGCTCAGAGTCTCAGATCAGTTGAGCTGTCCCTAAAATGGCTTCTAAAAGGTAGTTGATGGCAGCCCACTGAGGTACTATAAGTGTGGAGAGCAGTAGCTTATATGCTCCAGCCAGCTGCTGAGATCCTTTGGATTGAGGGAAGGGATGGTCATGCCAGTGTAAACCAGCAGCCGTTATTGAGATAAAAAACAAAGAAACATATTGTGCATACTTAGATTATGTAATTTGTTTGCTGCTTGTCCTTACAGGACCTCCTGTTTTTACCTTGGTGGGGGAATGTTTGAAGGTCTGCACCTTCTACCAAAACGCCATCAACCAGATGTGTGCAGGACAAAATGGAGTCAGTGTGGCTTCTTTACAGGTGGCCATTGCTCCCTTCTGCTGCTGAGGTCTCGCAATCCTTCTATAGGCACTGTGGATTAGTCCCTTCCTTGTAGCTTTTCCATTAGTTCTTAGTTCTGTAGTTAAGAACTACAGTACCTAGAGTGCATTGCAGTTGTTTGTATATCTCTCTCTGCGGCAAGACTGTCTTTTTCTTGAGATGCAAAGTTTTATATGTTCTTGTCTTCTCTTGTTTCTTTTTGGCTGTCCTGGGAATTGGACCCAGGGGCACTGTATCACTGAGGTACAACCCTAGCTATCATCATCATCATCATCATCATTTACTTTGGGATGGGGTCTCACTAATTTGCCCATGCTGGCCTTCAACTTGTGATTCTCCCACCCAAGTCTCCAAGTTGCTGGGGTTACAGGACTGCATTACCATTCTTGGCTACATGTTTATCTTTGAATCTCTGCCTACTGTATAATTCCCTACTGTTAATGCCCACCAGCATGTTTTCTTTTTTTTTGAGTAATGAAAGGAGTGAATGAATTCACAAGGTATGAGCCCTGAAAGCAGGTTCTGGATGTGGAACGGATAAATCAGCAAGCAAGATACCTTTAATATGAACTCACCTCAAACACTAAATCAATCTGTAGGCAAGAGGACTGAGCATCAGATTTTTTGGGTTGGGGTGTAATTTGTTGGTAGAATGCAAGGCTGTGGGTTTGATCCCCAGAACTCAGAAGAAACAAAAAGAAAACAAAAAGCAAGGTATGGTGTGCACACCTGTAATCTCAGTGCTCTGCAAGGCGGAGCCAAGAAGATTCTAAGTCTGAACCTAGCCTGGGCAATTTAGCAATACCCTGTCTCAAGCAAATAAAAAATAAAAAAGGCTAGGGATGTATCTCAGTGTGAAGACACTGGCTTCAATTCTTTGTGCCAATAAAATAAAATAATAATGCAAGTTCTATAGATAGTGTATAGCCAAGCTTGAGGTCGACAAGGTTTCATTTAGGTGCTTTGGAAATGAGATTTATAGATAATTGGTCTTGACTGCTGTTAACAAATACATTTTGTGTTTTGGTGGGCCAGGCATGGTGGTGCACATCTGTAATTTCTGCACTTGGGTAGTTGAGGTGAGAGAATCGTTGCCAGTTCCAGGCCAACCTGGGCTACAAATTCAGCTCATGGTCAGCTTGAACTCATAGTGTAGAGAGTGTCTCAAAAAAAAAAAAATTCTGTGGAAACATACATAATGCTCTCCTGAATCCTTAAACAAAAAGTGCTGAGCACAGTTGGGTAACGGCCTTGAGAATTCAGTGCTGGTGCCATGACCGCCCTCCCTCCCCATCTCTTACACCCCCCACCACCTTCCAAGAGGGCCACAGGTTTTTGGACAGACACATACCCAGCAGTATTGCATGGTATGTGAAATGACAATCAGTGCATGTTTCCAGCAGTATTATTTCTCCTTAACATAAGATCAACTGATGAGTGGAAAGGTAATATTTCATTTATTATTCAAAGGACTTCTAGAAAGTCTCAAAAAAGTCTACAGATTTATCACTGCCTTTGAAAGCATATTGCCATGATCCAAATCCTAAAAATGCTACACTTTCTCCATCCTTCCCTGAAATCACACTTAAATTCAGTATCACCAGTGCTGGTTTACAATCAATTCAAGGCAGCAAGGCTGAAAATAGCCTCAATGACACACACAATGCATTTTCCTAGGAACAGTCTATGGGCTTATTAGTGTCTCAGCCCAACAGGCAATTCTCAGCTGATGCCAGAAATGGGTACCTTTTCCTATCAGGTACACAGACAACTGATGTAATTTGCCTTAAATAGCTAAAGTGGGAAGGGGACTGCTGTTACGGTTGTTCTGACTTCTTAAAAATGCTTATCTTTTTCTGGCTGTGGCATATCAATTAAGAGCTGCCATCTAAAGTTAAAAGTAATTTGCACAGCTTTCACTTGGGCTTTCATGTGTGAAGCCATGGTCAGGTGTAACTGGAGAACGCACTGGACAAGGAGCTGGGAGCCCCGGGCACAGCTCCTTGCTGAACTGCTGCTGTGACCTCTAGCAAGGCACAAAATTACTAAGCTTCAGCATTTCATTTTTCAAATGAAAGGGCTGGATTTTCTGGCCAAAGATTTTTGTAGTTCCAATAGTCAAGAAGATGAAACGATGTTTCAAGCTATTTCATTGAAATTGCTCACATAGAGAAAGGGCCTTCTGGGAAGATATAGTTATGTTTTTAGATAAGAAGCGCTCATGGTGGGGTAGGGGATTATTGCAAATGTGAACATGAATGCAACCTGTGAGATGACCAGTTAGAATGGAAGGGCACTCTGTGGATTCCTTATCTAACATACAAGGAATCCAGAAGCCTGAGAGGAAAGGCATCTCTGGGACTGCAGACTCTGGTTCCATGGTCGTCTCGCTCTTGGCAGCAAGCCCAATGCTTCCTTGGGTTCATAAAACCAGATGCCATTAGTCAGTGTGAGTTTTTAGGCTGTGCAGAGGTGAGGAATTGTTTTTCTGGAATTGTGACCACCTCCTTCATGTATCTTACAATGGCTTATAGGACAGAAGGCTGGAGTGGATCATCTTGTAGCTATGAAACACAATGTAGTAGTACTGTGGTTAGTCAGCTTTTTCTTGTTTTGACAAAATACCTGACATAAACAACTCAAAGATTTATCTTGGTTCCTGGTCCCAGAGGTCTCAGTCCACGTCACATGGCTCCATTGCTTCTAGGGATGCAGGGAGGAAGAAGCACCTTGGCAGAAGGACATTGAAGAGGAAAGCTGCTCACACCATGGCAGCTCAGAAGAGAGAGATGGAAAAGCCAGAGGAGAGGCAGGAACCAGATACCACGCCACTGTCATGCCTGTAGTGTCTGCTCCCTTCAAGTCATCCTCATCTCCCGTTTCCACCACTTCCCAGCATTGCCATTAAATTATGATCTCATCAATAGATTAATGCAATGATTAGGTTAGAGATCACCTGGTCAGTTACGTCTCAAACCCCCACTTCTGGGTGAATTTTTTGGGAGACACCTGAGATCTAAATTGTGAGAAGTATCTAACTTGTCTCATGAAAAATCAAACTGAGGATTGGCGTCATTAGCTCAGAGCTAGAAGAAAAACTCTTGTTAACTCTTACTGTCCTAATACGTTAGCTACTTTGGCACCAGATTTTGATTTTCTGCACACTAAACAATTCTATAGTTTCCTATAGGTAACAGGACTGTGTCCTACAATTTAATTCAAGTCTGATGCTACCTACCTAGAGATAATACAGACTTTCCAGTTGAAAAGCTCAGGATCAAAAGACTGACTCTGCTTCAGACACCAGTCCTGTCTGGTGGGTTTCTAGGTTTCCCACAAATTCTGTCTGACTTGACTGTAAATCAGAGGTTCCTACAACTCCTTCCTCAGACCTGATAATTTGTAGGATGGCTCAAAGAACACAGTTTACTGCCTAGATCACCAGTTTTTGTAAAGGGTAACCACTCCAGAACACCACGTGGAAGAATGTGACACTTCCTTCTTCTCCCTCTTGGGGGCACCACCTCAAGGTGTTCAACACGTGGAAGATCCCTGAACTTTACTTTTTGGGATTTTTAAAGAGGTGATCTTACTGCCATGACTGGTTTAATCATTGGCCACAGGTGATTAAATCAATGTGATGGTTAACCCTGATTGTTAGTTTGAAAGTTTTCACCCACCACTCTCTGCTCTCACTGATCCTTGCAAAACACTTTGTTACTCTGCTCTAAAAACAAAACATTGTGAAAAAACTGGTAATAGAAACACCTTCAAACTTGAATAACTTTTCATCACTAGAACTCTGAACTTACCTAAGATCACAGCAGCTAGAGCAGCGATGAAAGCAGATTACTGAATTAACACAACATACAGTGTATCTATCCATGTATGTCAGCATGTACTTTGCAAAGGCTTTCCTTGAATTTGTTTAGAATGCACCTTTGGAAATTCTTTGCAGTGTATGAAAGAATACTGCTCTTGATTCCTTTTACTTCTTCCATTCGCATCCTTGTGATAGACTGAAAACTCTGCTTGGAACCATCCATGGTGACAAAGTGAAAGTATTCAATGTCTACCTCTATGTATCTAAATAAATATCTATCTAGAGATATCAGTATAGAGGTAGAGCTATAAATACATATGTATGCCCTTAGCCGCAGTGCCATAATTCATGATAGGCATGGAAAAGGAGTAAAATAGAAATGTCTTCTCTCAGAGAACTAAAAATCTACTGGCAGACCCGAGGACTAAGAAAGAAAAATTAATAAATGATTAAGATTATGTTGACTGTGAATA